TCCCCTCTGGGTGGATACATGCCGTTTACACACCGTCGGATAGCCTTGTGTTTGGTGGTAACTTCCTCACTCTCTTCAGCATTCCTCTTCAACTCCAGTGGGTGTGACTTTGTGATTGTTGCGTTTTGGTTATTCATGTTAAAGATTAATTTTTTTTTTGCATTCCAGTGTCTACCGCATGGAAGTGAGTCAGGAGACGGAGGAGCGTTTCCTCTTCCCCTGCTTCGAAAAACTTCATTGGTACGCTGCTGATGTTATTCTTGGCAGACTAACTAGTAAGTTTTCGGCTACAATGTCGTTCCTGAGACTGTTGGTGTACTGTGTTTAATCGTTTGAACCACACTTTGGAGTCACTTTGTAAAGCATTTGTGTCCATTTTAGATTATTTATACGCCGGTCAGGACCCTCCACCATACCTCCTCAAGGCCGCGCACGCTCTTGTTTCACCGCTACGCCAGTGGTATGAATTACGGAGGGGTGTAAGCGGGTCTACTTGCCATTTTTTTTTATCTATGTGCTTTGGCTTCACTCTCAATTGAATGGAGGAATGAATGTGTTTTTTTTTCATTGCTTCGATTATTGTAGTTACCAAAAGGCGAACGAAATCATCACCTCCCCCCTAGGGCCTACTTGCAATACGCTTATCCCACCTTGGTGACAAAACTGGAGGATTTAGTTCAATCGTTTCTACTAAAGCCATCTCCTGAGGAGGATAAAAAAAAGCGACACTCATTGCCCAGTACTTCAAGACGGAGATCTCCATCTGTAGAAAATCGGAGTGACTCTACTGATCCACAAGTCTCTGACTCACGGTGGGCTTACTTTTATGTCGATGGCGGCGTCAATGCTCTACTTATTCCAATCTGTTTCTTTTCCTGTCTCCTCTCAGATACGGCACTTCATCTTACAGACGAAGTCGTGAAGCCGAAGCGGAGGAAGAGGGGGTTACAGAGGAAGTGCTTGATGCAGTGCCTGAACTTCGAAGTAGTAGAATCGTTGGCGATCACTGTGAGTCTGCGTTTTGCCTTCCTGAAAAGGACGAAATCCTCTTTGCAGGCGTACTAGGACGTTTTAGTCGATTGTCCGACCGATTTTGCTTAGGTGTAAAGGAGGTATGATTTTACCATGTCCTACAGCTACTGTCCAGGAGGAATTCATATAGCAAGAGGAATGCTGTCAAATACGGCAGTGATTGTAACTTCGTTTTGGGCTCATAAATCCTATGTTCATTGTAAGATACACTGTATTAAGGAGGGTTTAATCTGTAAGCTAGGTTATGTTCTCTGTTGGATATATTCTGCAAAACGATTCCTCCCTTTGTCCGTCTAAATTGGTTTGAGTGTCAACTGGAGGAAAGAGACGTTTGTTGCGGCAAGTATATCTAAATGGTGAAGCTCGAGTCATATTCATTGACCTATCAGAAACTAGCATGAAGAACTCGAAGGTGTTGTTCACTTGGAGAATACTCGCTCTTCGTCATGTATTTAGCATCCTGTGTCGCCCCTGATGACTCCCCAAACCTGACCGTCACGAAGCTGTGTCATTATCATGCGATGGGCCCAACGTTTATCACATCTGTACATCCTACGTGTCTGTTTATCAGCCAGTCACAACGAGGCACACAGAGGGGTGCACACTTGACTATAGTGATCGTGGAATTTTCTTTTGCTTTTATCGTCCTCTTCAGACGTTTTCCCCATCTCTTCTGCGTCGGAGGAGACTAGGACTAAGAGTAGGGCGTTTAAGCGAAGGAGAACAGCCACCAAAAGTGCTCAAAAAGCCGAGGATCCCGATCCCACGTGGTGCGCCGCCTCCCGTGAGTTGCTTTGATTTGATGACCTGCACCTACTCGCCAAATCCTAACAACGTATTGATGCCCACGCGAATGAGGACGAGGTTGAATTCTCATTGGTCACAGTACTGGTTACTGATTGGTTGGGCCTGATGAGATTACCTTCAACCAATCAGAGTCGAAGCAGTTTTGAAATTCCACCTAACGGAGGGGGAGGGAAAATTTTGTGTTTTTGCTTTTCGTTTTTCCCCTGTGTAAATTACTGTCGCGTTATTTCGAATGTGACAAATAGTCCTATGCTGTTTTGATCATTTTTTAACTTCCACTTAGGGAAAAATAATAGCGTCAATCCTTATCCAGAACAGATATTCAAGCCGAAATTCACATTTTCATGTAGCCTTTTGCAAACTCGAGTTTGATAACGAATAAGATATTGCGTTAATTTAGTAAGGATTGGCTGCTCAAATGGGATTTATCTTTTCCTCTCCGGCACCTGCAGTTATTTCATACGGTCATTCCCATTCTACCGGTACATTGTGCCTTTATGTTCTCGTAAGCTGGTTCCCCCTCATATTGTGGGTGAAATCTTTGGATGAGGTCCAGTAGACAATAACTCAAGAGTTTGTTCAAGATAACAGCTTTTAAGCACAGTAATTCTGGTGATGTGCCAAGGTGTGATGATGCTGCATCGCAGTTGGAGAGACATCACTCTCGGCGGTAACGATGATTCACCGATTGCCATTAATTACAAATTTTGAAAACTAAAGTGTTACATTAGGATCATCTGGAGGTGCGGAAATGATGGCATCGTAAAGGAAATGCCACTGGACCTTCCATTGCTCTCATTTGGGTGCTCTTAAATTTTACTTCTTCTTTTTTTTGTTTGGATGTATTTTTGCAAAGACCGGTCGGTGATTCTGGTCTGGTGAATGACTGACTGATGACAAATGGCTTTGGTGTCTTTGTGTCCCCCTCTCCCCATCCTCCACCTCCGGGCACTAGTTAAGTGAACGAATACATCATTCGCCTGCTTTCTAGCGACACTTCCTCTTTCATCCAGTCTCCCTTGTTGCCTTGGTGATATTTTTCCTAAGCTCCAGTTGATTATTATCACGTCTGGAAGGGGAAATAAAGTTGTGTACTGTTGGAAACGGGTTAGACTGTTGTCTGTAAAGGTAACTGTCTAAATCAAAGTCATAAACGACCACCAGGACAGTCGTGGTCCGATTTGATAGGCAGTGCTAAGATGCCTAGAAAGTCATTTCTTACCACCATCTTATTTCCCTTGAGGTGGAGCACCTTCCAGAAAGCGTCACGTTGCTCCTGCCCCAAGAAGGGCATCAACCTCAATGCAGGCCTATCCAAGACCCTACAACGTCTCACAACCTACCGGCTCCTACCACTCTTTGGTAGGTCTCCATTCTCCACTCACTCACTTTGTTGTGCTCCTCTTGTGTAGCGGAGACCACAGAGGTCTTGTGTTGTATTGTCTGGTCAGATAATTTGTTAATTCGCTTTCAACTGTCTAGCATTCCCACAATCGTGCTGCCGACGTATCCCCTCTCCAAACATCAAGTAGTAGGACATCATCAGGTACACAACTTGATCTCTCATTATTCTTGTCTAAAAACTCATAATTTTTGGGCATTTTCTATTTCACCATTGCAATATTCTCATTAATGAATTTAACTTGAGGGGAAAAAATGAGCAATTTTCTCAGCCTACGGTTAGTTTTTATTTTTTAAATTACAATTAGTTTGTCTAAAGTAACTACTATTGTTGGATCATCAGGCTCCAGTAGTTGGAGACTGTTCAGGCGCTTTCACTTCACAACTCGATCAACTCCTTCCACCGCTTCTGCATGATTAGAGGTGGCACCCTCACTTCTGACAATAATTTTGTTACGGGTGGCAGAAGGAGGGGCTTTAGAGGTGCTTCCACTAAATTCCTCACCTGTTCAAAATCGTATATGAAGTGTTATTGTGTTTTGTCCTCTTTTTTTGTCTTGGTAAAAGCTATTTATGTGTGGATGTTTGTTCAATTGGGTCTCCACATCTCTACATTCTCTCCTACCTCTTCATTTCAGGTCGGAGGAGCAAAACTACGGTGCGACAGCGTCTGGCTAAACGCCTTGGCTTGTAACTGCGTTCCTTCTCCTCCTCATCACTGCGTCGTGCACCTCTCAACCACTTGCTCACAGGCGGCTCTGTATATACAAGGCGAAAACGTGTTCACCTGCTTTTTGTACTCTCTCAATATGTTCACTGTGTTTGATATAACACATGCCTTCTTTCTTACTCTCGCGAAAAATCTGAATAACGTTTGAGGAGGGAGGTGAAGTGGGAGCAGCTCTGCATAATTTACATTGGATGCATGTGTACTTTCAATGCAAACAGGGGAGAAAGACTCGAGAGGGAGGAAGGAGGGAGAGGAGGAGAGAAGTCGTCAGGAGGCGTGCTTCTTCTTCGGTGGCAGGGGCGGAGGATTCCAGTCCAAGTTAACGCCAAAGGCCGTGGTGATGGTGGTGGGTGAAGAAACTTGACTTCGTGGAGGACAACTAGTGCGTGAGGGCAGTTTCGGCGCGACATCTTCAAGTAGTGCATAAAAACAGGAGGATGCGGTAGGCAGATCAAGAATGATTCTGCTTATATCCCCACCCTTTTCAATTTTAACTATCAAAAAAATGGACTACAGTCTCAACTACAAAAAAACATTCATCTAACTCACAATCTCCTTGGTCAGAGAGGGGTGGTAAAGAGGTACGATGGATCAACGGTTTTGGTGGGGGCGGAGGAGGTGGCGGTCGAGCCTCACCAACTTCTGTAGACGCCTCTACTGTGTTAGCCTCGCGTCTGCCACCGATACAACGCCATCGCTCCAATGGCGTTGAAATTGGAATCACGCTACCACCACCGCTGCCTCCTCGAAAGTAGTAGTGCTCTTCAATGTGATGCGGTGAGAACTCCACATCTGTAAGGCAAATTTACAAGACTATGTATCACAAAAATGATCTCAAAAGCTACTACAAATTAACTAAGTAACCACAGCGTAACTACATTTTGTGTTGATGGAAGGTGATGCATCAACTGTGCCACCATTTCTGTCGTTCCTGATTCCGCAGAGAAGTCGGAATTAGCGTCAAAAACACTTAAAAGTGCCATCAGCAAGAACTAATCAAAGTAGAGCCAAAGCTAACGTGGTTGCTTTGGGGAGTTAAGAATAGGCTATATTAAATCCCATGAATGTCTTTCCTCCCCTTCTACCTCCATCAAGCGTTCCAACTCCAAAGATGAGTACTTCAGCCCTGACTACGTGCATTTACGACTCTCGCATCCTCATTTCCCACCAAACCACCACCATGGCGAAAAATGGGTGCCGGTCATCCCCTTCACATTAGAGATATACCAGCAAGGCAAACGTGGAGACGGTGATTTGGGGACTATTGGTCTTTACCCTCCCACACTTCATCGCTTGCACTGTCATCCCAAGCACAAATTTTCCCACAGATCAGTTAATGCTTGAGTTGCGTGGTCCATTGGAAGTGCCAATTTGGTCACCTTCTCACGGTCTGACTAATCACGACTCCTTCCTGGGAAGAGGTCTCTCTCAAACTATCTGGTAGAGTGTACTTTTTGTAGAGGGGATAGGAAACACAAATAACCACCCACACAAGCCATCCAATCATTCACTCAATCAGTCAAAAAACTAAAGTAGGCTATTCATTTTCCTCCAACTTCACTAAGTACCCGCTTAACACCTTGTCCCAATCGCAGACACCCAATTTAACCACATTCAAGTGACCTTCTTCAAGTTTCACAAAATCTGTGCATGACACAGCCACTTCCCATCGATTCGCCTTGGTAAAAGTAAAAAAACCAAAGTACACTAACACATGTGACCTTGAATGGTGATGAATCAGGCGAAAGGACTTAGTCACACAACACGTTTAAACGCGACAATACAACACCATGCAAATATTTCGACAGCCCATCATTAAAACACGTAGAGCTCCCGCTCACAATATTCGTCAACTTCATTTAATCAAATGCTATCATTTTCTCAACAAGTGAATGGCTTGGTCGTCAAATTGGAGGTGATTAAGACCTCTCTGAGGCATACTTTCAGCCTCCTTATCCTTTCAGAAGGTGGGAAACATGCAATCTTTAAATTTGAGAGGTTTGCAACGCAGTCAAGTGTTGTTCGAGTGCTACAAACAAGTAGTCTCGTGTAGTCAAATTGTCTGGACTCATAGCCAAGAAATCAGAAACACAAAAGTCCAAATTATCTACCGATCTAGTAATGAAACCAATCGTTATACGCATGAATCTGGAAGAAAAACCAAGGCGCTGCATAGAG